CAAAAACTATTAATTCAACAGGATTTCTAAAAAGTTTAAGAATGTTGAAGCTATTTAAATATAAGAATTCTTATTTAAAAATATGCTTTGAAATACAGTTTTAAGATATAATTCAAAGATCAAGACCAAGCAACAATGTGGTTTTTAAATTTCAACTAGATTATTTCAATGTATACAAAAAAAAATCTGAAATAGGTTTATCAAACAGATTAAAAATTTCAGCAATTAATTATAAATCCCTTTAATGTAAAAGTCAGAGAATAATTGATTCAGTTTGAGGTATTTAATGATTTACAGCAATGATCTTGTTAGATGGGTTTGCCTATCGTCCTGTTCACACTCCTCCCCAATCTTTTGAACAGTAGAGTTTTATCCCTTGTTTCCTGTTTAGGATTCTGTTTCCAGGTGCTTCTAAAGTCTTTTCATTCTCTTTCACTCCCAGTAGCTCCTTGTGTCTTAGTGGCATAATCACCTTGTTTGAGGTAAATTCATTTAGAAAAAAAATTAATATAGTTATTAAGCCTGTGATGATCTCTCAAAGTGCATTGGGAATCCAGCAAAAAATTATACTAGCGTTCAATTCCAATATTAAAACTGAACCAAGTTGTTTCTACTTAATAACATTGTCATTAGGTTGACTATTATAAAGTTACTCTAATGATTCCTGAGGCAAAACTGCTATAGGAAATATTTCTAAGATTCTATGTAATTGGTGTCTGTGTAGCACCAAGACAAAAATGAGGCAAATTAAATATACTGAACTTCATACCATGAAATGGTTTTTTGAAGTTTCCTTGGCATTATAAAGTTAATCTCTAAATACCATTAGAAAATTAACCATTTTTATAATGCCATCACTTCCTTGTCTCACAAGATAATGAAAGAGTTAAATTGATCATCTAAGTAAAAATCAGTTATTTTTTTAATGCTAGCTTATAAACCAAGATTTCCAAATTATTTAGAAAAAAAAAAAAAAGACTAACCCAGACAAAATGTTTTAAACCATTTTATGTGGCAAGTTAAGAAAAAAAAAAAAAAAAGTTATTTTTGTTCCCATCTCCTGAATCCAGTGTTTCGACCCCCACAGCCTCCTGTCCACTGAGTGTTTGCTGTTTTCAGAAACAAGATTCTACAACCTTCCAAAAAAGGAAAGATGAAGGGTACACAGCTGAAACAAGAGGGGAAAAACACAACAAAGCCAAGGTAATTAGTCCAAACTAATCATTAGAATAACCTAAAGTACTAAAAATCAAGCCAAGCTCGTTCTTTAACTTGATGATTCAGTATTTTGATCTGTTGGATTATTAGGTACTTTTCATTCTACATTCCCGTAGTATTTACATTAATGTTTTGAAATTTATATATGAAATATATCTAAGAAAAAAAAAATTTTTTTTAATAGTTCCTTACACCAAATCTGAATATTTTATGATCAGGATTGAACATTGCTATGAAGTAACTGAAAATTGTTATAAATTAATAAGCATTAAAATATAAAGAAATTACAATAAATTTAAAGTAAATATGGAAGGACATAATTTAAGAATGAATAGGCATTTTATGGTGCCAATAATATAAAAATTACAATAAAAAAATGGGAATTAAAGACAATTTATATTATTCTTTGTAAGTGATAATTTAAGAGCCAAGATACACAACTTGCAGAAGACAATCTTGGAAAATTTGACACTCACAGGATATATGGAAAGCAAGAAGGACCAAGGAAAGCAGCTTATGTAAATGTATGGCAAAACAGGAATTAGGAGAGATAGCAAAAAGACAAACTTTACTAAGAGCTACAAAGAACAGGAAATTGTGGAGAGTCATGATCACACACGCCATGAAGGGACATATTTATAAAGAAATAGTATACTTTACTTTCTTCTCTAATGCAATAAAAAAAAAATATATACTAGTGGGGAGTAATAGAGTGGAAATCCATTTTAATTTCATTTTCACCAGAAACATGCAGAATAAGTTTACAAAAGACTACCATATTCCAAACAGAAATAATAGGTGGCTCAACTAGGTAGTTAACTAGTTTTTATTTTCTGACTACAGAACAAAAAACCTGTCTTATTATCTATGTCGAGATCTCATTTCTTGGCATTAGCAACATTAAGATTTTTTTTTTTTTTTATGATTTTAACCAAACAAAGTGATAATGCCACTAACACACAAGGAGAATGAAAAGACTTTAGAAGTAACCAGAAAGAAGGGATAAATCTCTACTCCTGTTCAAAAGATTTGCCAAACATACACATTTTTATATATATATATATATATATATATATATAAAATAGGGGCAGCAGATCATTATTCAAACAAATATTGTTAAATATAACAGGCAACAAATGTTTATGTTTTATCAAAAGCCTTTCCAAGCATCATATTTAGTTTCAAGATAAAATAAAGATTAAAAACAGTCCAACATTTGGATATTTCTTTATTATATTTTTAGTGGGTACACGTTTCAGTTGCTATCTCTGTTTATTTTTTTTCTTAAACAATATTGAAATCAATAAAAAACCAGCCTAGACTGAGATGTCCTACTAAAGAAAAATTGTGCCTCCTGACAATTTTTCTTTAGTAGAACCTCTCCATCTAGGTCGGTTGTTATCAATTTCATAAAAAAACCCAAAAAAACAACAAGAATAGGGATAAGCAGTCAAACATGTGTAGTTTTTTGTGTAGCCATCATTATTATTATTACAACTCTCAGCACATAATGGACCACCTGTTTGATCAATTATTAATCCTAGTTTCTGTTATTAATGTATTTTCAATTCTTCATTTAGGAGATCATGTATTGTAATTAAACAAGATTAATATTAAAAGGCAACATTAATATCCAGCTGGCAATATTTACAGGAATTTCATGATCACTTATGTAAAAAAAATTTATCAATCTGATCAATGCATTTAGTTAATGTTACTGTTACATATACTAATTTGGAAGACAATTCCAAAGGATACATTCCCCAGACATGAGTACCATTTTGGAGAAGTTCCCAAAATTTTATCCAGAAAAAAGTTTACATTATGTAGAATGAAAATACTCACAATGCTATTTTAATAAGAAAAAAATTAAAAATAATAGGATACAAAACGCAGTCAATGAAACTCACTAGGCTGCAATCTACTCAACATAAAATCTTACAGTACTACACCGATTTAAAATATGCTGATTTATAAAATTAGATTGGGATGGGGACGATATAATTAATCTATGCGCTTAGAAAAAAATCCCAAACCAGTGTTCTTCGTGGCAGTTTTTAAGAATTTTTAACAATCAGGAAAATTCCAGAAAATAATCATCTTCAAACAAATTTCAATTTTTTTAAGGTTAAAAACCCAAGTAACGAATGAATCGATGACTACACATTCAGTATTTTTTGAATATCGTACGTACAATAAAGTTGTGTATGAACGTTCTTGCAAATTAATTGAAATTGTACAGGAGCATAAACAAGATTTTTTTTTTTTTAGTATTTGTTTCTAGAATTCAAAAAGCAAAAGAGAAATGGCTTGTTCGTTTTTCGAATCGTTCACATTTACAATTTGTTTCCTTTATTATTCCTTAGTAATTATTTTCTGAATGAATCGTATTTACTCGGAATAAGGTAGACTTTTCCTCCGGATCATTAACAAGTTAGAATTCGACTTTAGACTTAATTATTAGATTTTAAAATTTACTGAAGCACGTTAATGAAAGGAATATTTCTAATTATTATTCATCAATGACAAACTTGTCTAAAATCGTAAATAAGAGTAAGACATGTGATAAAAAAGAAATTTCGTGTAATGAACACTAAGTGTTTCATAGGACTCGGTATAAGACAGAACTGCTGCAATTAGTTATTGGAGTGTGTGTACTTGTGTATATATACATTACTTTAGTTTGCCACAAGTAATTTTGTAGTAGTGGCACTCCAGTCTCACTCTGATTTATTTATTTTAAGTTGATAATATAAGCTAACATTTAATTAAATGATTATCTAATTAACATAGACGATTTTTGTGTCGTGGGGATCAGCCTGAGGAAGATATATCTAATTTCTGTAATTAATATATTTTTTTGTTTAGCTTTTATAATTAGTTTTTAAATAGCATACGCACATTAATCGAAATAAGGTATTATAAAAACTTTCTAGTCAAAATAAGTAATTATTCAGCATCTTTAGTAAAAAAAAAAAAAAAAAAAATGGTAATTTCTTGACGGATAAATTAAAAAAAAAAAAAAGTATTTTACTTTCAAGAAACAGCATTAACAAAAAAGTTATAAATTAAAAAGGATAATGAAGAAAAACTTTCACTTCGTATTAATAAAAAATAAAACTAAAAAAATTCTTCTTCTTTACTCGACTCATGACATTCTTCAATGAAAATAAATAAAAATGTAACATGAAATTTCCCCAATTGCTTCCTTTCATTTTAGATCGCTTTTGAAACTGATTATCTTACTCACTGTGGCAATCATTATATACTGATAAGATTTCTAAGGGGAAATAGACTGAATGAACAACACACGGAAGTGAAGAAGCCATTAGTGGACAGAAGAAAATAAAAAACACAAATGCAGCCCCCCCCCCTAAAAAATGCAAAAAAACTTTCACAGAAAAATTGAAAAGCAATAGATATTTATGATAAATCAACACACGAAGTTCAAATAACACCCTTAAGGGGAAAAATAAATAAAATTCAGATGTTAAACAACATAATAAAGTATTTAGATTACGTAGAAGAATGATTTAAAAATGTTAACAATAATAACCAACACTACAGGCACAACTCAGACTTAGTCAATATTTTAAAACCATTCAATTCTCTTTCCTTTTTACTCCCTACGGCTCAGCTGTTAATAGATTTAACAAATAATTATGGCAAAATAAGGAACATTAAGCTCTTAACGTTTGTTCATATAAGATCAGTCATAATTCCAAAATGTGATTGTATTTTTAGAATTGCGAAAGAAAGTTATAAAAACCCCAAAATAATACCTGAAAAATGGATAAAATATCATCTCTCGATCCTTCCGCCATAGTTGCTTTGTATCTGATGCGCATGCTTTGTGACTCGTGTTTACATATTGAGTCAGGTTTACATTCTCCTTGAATATAAAATACTTTCGTACTTATTTTTTCTACGCATAAGGCAGTATAACTCACTAAAATCACGTTGAAATTTATTTAGACTTAACCGAAATAAAGCTCTATTATTACTTTCTACCTCATTATCAAATATTTTATTGTATAATTAATACGAAACTCCTATTTACTTTTCTTTAGGTAAACAGGTGCATGCACACTACATTGCTAGTAAGTATTTAAAAACAAATAAAACTACCATGGAAAGCGGATATGAATGATACTATGTATTAATAAAATAGGTTTTAAGTTTGTTTTTTCTGGAAGTAATTGTATGATATAATTTTTCTTTAAAAAAAGAACAAGACGGTTTCGTAAAATGAGAAAATTTCCTTTTCCTCAAAACTGACAGCTCATACTACATTTGCTTTCACTTAAATCACTAACTCCGATTCTCCAGTTACTTCGTCATAAAATTGCTAAATTATAACACAGCCAATTTACGTATTCAGTAGCTTTTTCTATTTAATCTCCAAACAAAATAACATGTCAATAAATGTCATTGGAGTAAATAACTTTCTTTTTTAAAATCAGTTTTCGTTATGGAATAATTTCTAAAAAAGATATTGTCGCAGTATTCACTAATACAAAAAAATTGATTTATCGTTTCAATGATTTTTTTTTTTTGTCATACTTTTTTTAGTTTTAGTTTGATTTTTCATACATTTTGCTTTATTCATTGTCATTTCCCACTTTACGGGCGCAACAAATTTATTAATCAATTATGAAGTATACAATCCTGAGATAGTATAAAATTTTTTGGAAAATCCAATATTGATGTCTATTATTAAGATATAGAATTTTTGTTTCTTTTCCCTAAAACGCTGAAACGGCCATGTTTTCACAGGACCGCGCATGCGGGTTTCGATTTTTTTAATAGAAAATGCAATGGACACTCACCCTTTAGAAGGTGTTTTACGCTCATTATTATTAAATAAATTCTAAACTAAAATTATACGATCAATGCGAATGTGTAAAAATAAAATATCTGAAACACTAATGTGTAGTAATGCAAATTAAATTTTAAAACGGATTATATTTGCCGCGCCCGCAAACTAGAAAATTAATTACTTTATTTTTTTTTTATTATCATTTCACTCAGTGTAAAATAATGACTTCAAGTCTTAGCTTTTAATTTTTTTTTTAAATTTCTTCATTCATTTTTCCAATCCCTTCTTCAAATCACTTGTTAATTTAAAAAAAAAATTCTTCATCTTTTTCTTCTTTGTATATTTATGATGGAAACGAGTTGAACCTGTAGTGTATTAAATTGTGAAGAAAAACTTCAAAAATCTGTATAAATTATATAGCAAAAGAAACAAACAGATTTAAATTAGAGTGGACACAGTATTAGAACCTATTCTGTTAATCAGTTTCAAACAAAATAAAAACCTCTTTTTATTGAAAATTATTAATAGAATACAGCACTGATACTGAGTGTATATCAACTTTAAATAAAATTTAATTATAATTTACAGAGAAAGAGAATAATTTACATAGTGTTTAAAATTATATATCAAATTATTAATCTGCAAAGTTTCAGCTTTTAAGCATTATGTATAGATATAAAATTATTAGAAATTTGATACTCTTCAAGTAATACATTTAGAATAGAGCTAAGCATTTTTCTGCTAAACACTTGTGTGTATTCCTGTGTTTAATATTCTATGTGCATGTCATGTATAAGTAAAAGATAACATATCAAGTAACCAGTCCAAGTAAAAGTTTGAGTTGAATTAGTAAAAGGAGTCATTGAGAAATCTTCCTGTGTCTAATCTATGTCCCTGCCATACAAAAACTGACTGAAAATACAATTTTTGTATAAATCACCTCAATAATTTCTTTATAAAAAAACTGTTTTTGCACTTGTAGGGATACAAAAGTCGATTATCCCCCTTTGGTTGAAATGAAGTTACGTGGGTCACATGATGGCTGCTTAGTGATGTCAGTTCATAAACTGAAAAAAGCAGCCAGTCCATCCGTTAACTGCCTGGAGTCAAAACACATGAGTTGTTTGTTCACATGGGCGAGGCAAAACCTCTGCCCAGGTCAGCCAGTTATCAAGCAGGGCAGCTCACAATAGAAATTATTTCTGGCTTGCAGTCTTCATGTTGGGAAATACCCATGACTCACTGTTTTCTTGTTTGAGAAATATGTCCTTGCTAGTGACATAGAAGATAAATCTGGCTCACTAGAATCCTTCACTGGGAATATAAATAATCACAAAAGGATCCTCTGGCAGCTCTAATTCTCATTGGGAATTATTACAAAAATATCCACACAGACACCAAGCCCTGTGGCATTAATGCTTTCCTGATAAAGACACATGTACGGAATACTAGTAATCTGTTGAAGAACAAAGGACTAACATCTCCAGAAGCTTCTTCAGGACAAAACAGCTTGAAATTTTCAAAGATATACGTCACAAACACTGATTTTCAAATGGTGTGCAACTTAGTCAAATCAAATATGTTGCAGCCACCATACAGAGGACCATTCAAGATTCTGATGAGATATACTAAATTTTTTATTGCATGCATTATTAACACAAATCAAAATATTTGTTTGTACAGGTTGAAGCCAGTCTATCTACAAAATTTTAAAATAAATTAGTTATCCCAACACTAGGGTCTTTACCACCACCTTCAAGTTAATTGGACATATAATTAGGAAGGAAAATAGATCCAACACCAATTCAGATGCTGGGATTTATCAAATAAAGTGCTTGCAATATAGATACACTTACATTGGTGAGACATCTTGAAATCTAAAATCCTGCATCTATGAAAACAAGGGAGACCTATGTTAGGACAATTCTTCAAACTCACTTGTAATACACATGAACAAGACTAGCCATAACTTTGATTTTACAAATTCCACCTTAATTAAAAAAAAGAACATGTCTTTATGCTGAAAATACTTTGAAAGATAAAAATTTTACCAATTATAAACACATGTCAAAAACACAATATTACATCACAAACTTTATTAGATCTATTCTTATAGAATCTAATGTATATTTAATTACCACTACTATAACCAGTGTTGATATAAAAACATCTCCAAATCAACATGCGGACAACCTCCAAACATAAATAATGCCTACTAGACACATACATACATATATACATTATCATTTGAATCCCACATAGACAAACTAGAATTATAATAGACTTAAACTCATAAATTATACATACGAACGCTGCTTGACAAGTCAAGAGCATGTGAAGTCTGCTTAACTAATGAAAATCAAACAACACAAAAATGAAATTACTAGAAAATTTTTCCATATCTAATTCTGTGATGAAGTTTTAGTAAAAGCAAAACATGTTAGGTTTTAAAATGTTTTCTATTTGTTCTTTATCCTATCATTCTGTTGAATTCTGATCTGTATTTGATCCTAATTCATATACAGGGCACGTTGATTGGTTTTGATTTTGTTGACTGCATAGTATAGTAGGGTCAGTTTCTGTGAGAAAAAGAGCACCATGACACAATTCACTCTGCCAGAAATTTGGAAATGACATGCTGTACTGCTTGGCATTTTCACTGGAAGCTTCAATGAGAAAATTTCGGAGTGTTTGGGTGTCAATCTGAAGACAGTGTAGAGGATTCGGAAAGTGTTCAATGATATATCCAGCCAACATCATGGTGTTTGAAGTGGTCATTACTGATGGCCATATTATGCCTCCATTCATTTTCCCACAGAGCCTCACACTCAACACAGAGGCCTACATCAAGTGTCTTAAGAAGGTAGTGCTGCTGTGGGTCAAGAGAGTGGCTGCTGGAAGACCCTATATCTGGCAACAGCACTCTGCACCATGCCACACAAGCAGGAGAACCCAGTCATGGCTATCAGACAATTTCTGTGACCACATCACCCCTTAGATCTGACCACCTAACTCTCCAGACTACAACCCCCTTGCTTATTATGTCTGGGACTCAGTTGAGCAAGAGACCAACAAAACTCCTTGTAACACCAAAGATGAACTGAAAGCAAGGATCATATCAGCATTCACCAACTTAAACAAGGAGACCACCCAGAAGAGTTGCAGGAGATTCTGAAGTCATCTGGAGTCTGTGGTTGAAGCTAATGGTGATTTTATTGAATAAATTTACTCATTAGTATTTCAAAATATTTTTGTCATTTTGGTAAATATACCTGTTAAAATGAGATGTCAGTGTTACTTTTATTTTTTGCATAATTTAGATGACAATTCATTTATACCCTATATATATATATATATATATATATATATATATATATATATATATATATATTAGAGAGAGAGAAGTGAAACAGTGGTCAACACTAAGCACTGACTGTCTGTTCCATGCTTAAACGCAATCTTCAGGACTGAAGATTGCATTCAAGCATGAAGCAGATTGTCAGTATTGATCTCAGTGTATACTTTTATATTTACATATGCTCTATCCCTGATATTTAGCACTTTTACCCATAAATATAGCATAGCTTAAAACTATATTTTTATCATATATATATATATATATATATATAATGGCTTGTTTTCAAGTTTGCTTGTCTGCTCAGGTAGCTAATAAATCCCTGTTGCAGACACTTGCTCAGACACCTTTATGTTTCATCAGTATCCCCAGAGGCAATGTATAGTTCATACTGTAACTATACTGAGCAGAACTGCAGTTTCTGGGAGAGAGCACTAGTGTAATCAGTAGTTAAACAAGACCAATATGTTCTAGCCTTCAGTCATGATAACTTGTTATCTTGTGCAAGCACAACCACTGACGGCTTCCAAACAGTTTCATCTACTCTGTTTTACTCAAAAGTCATGAGTCAAGCCATGATATGGTTTTCAGGCACTTCCCAATGGTGCCTCACCCTGGGATTATCTCCTCTGGCTGATAGTATCAAGAAGTCACCTTCTCAACAAAACCACCTT